TAGTGTTACGAGCCTATTCTATTATTTCATCGTTAGTCATGGTATTGAGTTGTTCAGTATCTGGTAGGTCAGGATATATAAAAACTTCAGATAAGACGTGGGTAGTATGGTTTATGGGTGTTGTACAGTATGTTTTATGGGTGGTCGTAGCTTTTATATTATCCATTGTTGTTAGTTGAGGGGTATTTAGGGTGCATAGTGGGGATTGACTGGGGGTGGTATATAATCCGCTCCTTAGTTGCATGTGTATAACAGTTGTATAAACTCTTTCAGTGTGACTAAAAAATGTGTCAATATTTTAAAGAAGCTAGGACGAAGGTTTGATTAGATACTAACAAAAAAACATTTGGCGGCCGTTCGGGAGAGCCTAAAAGGCAGTGACCTTGTAGTCTTCAGTTCTTGGGAGGTTGGTAGCGGTATAGCTAGTAGGGGGGGTAGTATAACCAGTAGTTAGCAGTAGAGCCAGTTGTTAGCAGTAGAGCCAGTAGTTAGCAGTAGAGCCAGTGGTTAGCAGTATAGCCAGGGATTGACAGTAGAGCCAGTGGTTAGCAGTAGAGCCAGGGGTTGGCAGTAGAGCCAGTGGGTAGCTTTAGAGCCAGGGTCTTCAAGGAAGCACAGAAAAGAGATCTTCTCTGTATGAAATCCTAGGGTGGGGAAACAACAACAATGAGTTTTTATAGGGGAAGCGTGACCTCTGGCGGTCGATTCAACAGAGTATTTGAATTCATGAAATATCATTTTGAATAAAATATTCTTTTAATATCACATTCCCCCCCTGTTAAGAAAACAATAGGTGTACAGAAGAAAGTGATAAAAAAATATAGTTAAAAAAAAGATAAAATAATTGATGGAAAGAAAATAAAGTGAGAGGTGATATTCACTTATCATATTGGTTTTTGGATGGTAATTAATGGACAGGAAAGTACAAAAAGATGCATAATGTAAATAATTATAAAAATATTGGTAGAGAGTAAAATGTACGACTATCAAAAAGTGAAAAACAAAAATGTGATATTCACTTATCATATTGGTTTTTGGATGGTAACCAATAGACAGGAAAATACTAAATGATGTAAATGACAATAAAAGTTTTTGGTATAGAGCGAAATAAAATGCATGATTATCAAAAGGTGAGAAATAAAAAGGTGATATTCCATTATCATATTGGTTTTTGGATGGTTACCAATATAGACAGGAAATGGCAAAGTGATACATAATGTGAAAGATGATAAAATGAATGTTAAAGAGGGAAAAATGTATTCCATTATCGTATTGGCTTGTTGTGATCCAATAGATTGGAAAAGACAAATGGGAAATTGACACATAATATAAATGAGAAAGAAAAATAAAATTCATGATATTTACAAAAGTGATAAATAAAAGGGTGATATACCATTATCATATTGGTTTTTGGATGGTAACCAATATAGACAGGAAAAGACATGAGAAAAATGATATAAATATATAATATTAAAAATGAGGAAAAAATAAAATGCAGAATTTTCGAAAAGTATATAATATTAGAATAGGCAATGCTGGAGGCTTCCATAACCCACTGAAACTAAATTCACCCCTCAACAAATATAGGAAATCTAAAGACCTAATATCTTCGAAACTATCTGAAAAACTAATTTCCTTCACTGAATCAAATTCTATAACAATAGTTAATGGAAGAACTAAAGGTGATACGTACGGCTCATTCACTTTTATTTCAGAAAGAGATTCATCGGTTTTGGATTATTTTATGTACACACACGGTTTAACACAGATTATATCGGATATGTGGATCGAAGAACTTTCATATTCAGACCACTTACCAATTGTTTTACAAATTAATACTGGGTATGAAGCTATTAAATCCTCGTATAACAATGAAATACTAACACGAAAATTCATTTGGACGAAAGAAAATGTGGAGATGCTAAAACATAATTTAAGTGATATTGAAGATGGAAATGAAACTGATATTAATACAGAAACAGTAAATTTTACTAAACAGATCTACACGGCAATGGAATCGGCAAATATAACTAAATTTGTTAAACGACGACACCAACTTTCAAAACCTTGGTATGACAAAGATTGTTACATTATGAAAAAATCGACCAAAGTAAGTTTACAAAGATGTAGGAACTCAAATAACATACACGACCGCCAAAAATATATTGAGGCTAGGAGGGAATATTTTAAGATCCTGCAAAGAAAAAGAGATGAATTCAACAAGGACAAGAATGAAATGATAAAAAACGCCAAAGATCCCAAATCCTTCTGGAATGCCATTGCATCCTTTAGAAAAAAAAACAATAATACAAGGAGAGATTGATATAAAAGAATGGTTTTTATTTTATAAAAATTTACTGAACAAAGAAAATAAGGAATATACCATATACTACTACTGAATTCACTCATCCAATTATCTCTGAGAAGAAAACGAGGCAAGCTATATGTCTTCTTCGTCGATTTGACTAAAGCTTTCGACACAGTCCCACATGAATTACTTTGGCAAAAATTGCACAAAATGGGCATTAGCAATAAATTTGTAATGCTGATAAAAAACTTTTACCAAGACGCTAAGATTACTATCCGATGGAAAGGACAATATTCAAGTAATGTGAAAATTAATTCTGGAGTGTTGCAGGGAGAATCACTTCCCCACTTTTATTTATAACATATATGGCCGACCTAATAGAACTTTATAATAACTCAGCAATTACAGGATTTCATCTCCCCGATTTTGGTGTTTTACACCTACTTATGTATGCGGATGACATAGCCATAATTGGAGAATCGAAAATTAATCTGCAAATTAAAATCAATTTACTAAAGTCTTACCTGGATAATAACAAATTAGTTTTAAATGAAAATAAGTCCAAAATAATGGTATTCAGAAATGGAGGAAGACCGGCAAGACACGAAAACTGGTACTGGGGAGACACCCCACTGACTGTTGCGTCCAATATTACATATTTGGGATATCCATTCACTTCCACTAATAATAGCAAAAAGGTAGCCCTCTTTTATAAAGCCAAAGCAAATACGGCAATAAATGCAATTATTAGACTGATAAAAAAAATAAAAAATTAACTCATTAAAAGTTGCACTGAATCTATTTGACTCAGTTATTAAATCAATTCTACTCTATGCGGCCCCTGTGTGGGCTTGGGACAATACGGATATTATAGACCAAATTTAGAATACGTTTATCAAAAACTTTCTGAATCTACCAAGATATATACCAGGGTATATTATAATGCTGGAAACTGGCAGAATATCTCTGACTTTTACAACGATCAAATTAATTATGAAATACTTCATTATATTACAAAAAAATGGAAGACAATAGACTACCTAAGCTATGCTGGAATAGATTGAAGGAAATTTCCTTAATGACAAAAAACCCTATAGGATTCTGTAAGAATATTATGGATATCATCAAACATTGTGGACTCACATGGCTAAACTATAGGTTAAATTATGATGACATACAGATCGAACTTCCGAATATACTTAAAATAAAAATTGAACAGCTATTGCAGCAAGATCTGGCAAAATTATCTCTTACGAAAACATACTCAAACTATAGGTTACTTTATGATTCATTCATTCCAGAACATTATTTTTCATGCAATTTGTCCTCAGCTTTAGTGAGTTTTATTGCACAGATCAGATTAATTTCAACATTGATCAAAGAAAATCATATTTACGCAATTAAGAAAGAAAATTTGTATTGTGGGTTATGTGGAAGTCAGATAACTGATGAAATATACCATTTTATTGCTGAGTGCGGGGATCTGGAAGGAGAGAGAAAAAAGATCCTGAAAAGTCTTCCTAGACCGCATTTGAACTCAATAAAGCTAATAAAAACTGTTTCAGATAATAAAAGTTGGGCAATTGAACTGTTCAACTATCAAAAAGCGGTTGGAAATAAAATTGCACTCATGGAAGAGAGAAGAACAGGGACACAATAAAAAGTCACCCTGTTTACCATACCTTAACTGTAAATACTCCATCTTCCCCTTTTCTCTTGTGTTTAATATTGTCTGTAATGCCACGGCGAATCAGTACAGGGCAAGATGCCCTAATAAAGTTGTTTTGTTGTTTGTTGTTGTTGAAAAGTATATGAATGAAAAATTATGAATAAAAATGACATCAAAAAAAAATAATTGGCAAAAGGTATATGGTAATGCTAAAAAAAATTGATGATGATAAGAAAAAGGCATTTATGAAAAAAAAAAGCAATAAGTTGAGAAAAAGTCTATGTACAAAAGGAAAAATGTGAAAACAAGGGTTGAAACTATAAAGATAAATTAATTAATCGTAAGAATAGAAAATGATCATTTAAAAAAGAATCAAGGTGAACAAAACAAAAGTTGAAATTTAAATATGTTGGTATCGCTAAATTTACATATTGGCAGAAACGCTTTTAGATATTAATTACATATGAAAGAAGTAATGGGGTAAAAATGTAAATTTTGAAAATAGAAACATAATGTGGAATAAGATTAAATAAGAAAATATTAAAATATCTAAAGTTAGGGAATTTTAAATATAAGATGGAAATGTGAAGCTATAGTGTATTGTGGTCATTATCGAAAATATATCGTAGAAATATGATAAACAATGTTATAGTTTAATAAAATATTGAAGATGTGATAAAATAGGTAAATTATTTTGTTGTCCTCCCGGCTGACTGTTTTACATATGGTGTTAAAAAATTAGAGCTGTGAATGGTTTAGCTTAAAATGCAAAGATAAAAGTAAAAATAGGGAATGAGAAATATTATATTTAGGTACAAATTATGCAGAGCAAAATAAGGTGTAAAAGGATATAGAGGTGTTGTGCAACTTAAAAGGAAAAACAGCTATGGCAAAATTGGTATATAACATTAATTTGAAAAAGGGATATTTAATTATACAAGTATCAGAGTCATCAACAATCAATTCTGTCATCGTTAGCTTTTGTGAATGGAATAAATACCCAAATATGGCCATTTCTTATAAGCATCGGTGGTTCAGTGGTAGAATGCTCGCCTTTCACGCGGGCGACCCGGGTTCGATTCCCGGCCGATGCTTTTTTTTTTTACAATTTTTGAAATTCATTTTTATATATTATTTTATATACAATTCTATATACAAGTATCAGAGTCATCAATTCTGTCATCGTTTGCTTTTGTGAATGTATGTAAATAATGGATTTCATATTTTTTATTAATTTTTGTTCTTGCCTTTATTTGTTTAAATCTATTTTTAAAAATCGTTCAAAATGCAGTCGAAATCATTAGAGAATACATATGTTTGCCTAATATTTCCATATGCTCTTTTATTTTTTTTTTACAGAAAAATATTTACATGCCAGTATTTTGGATTAATTTTTTTATTAACCTTTTTTTTAATTCTTACTGAGAAGATGGGCATCGCAGTCAGGATTCTTTACAGTCAGTCACTCAACTCAGGCAATTTCAAAGGTTAATGGGGGTTTGGTGGAAAGCTGCCGTCTATTTAAACTATATTAATTTTGAAACAACTAAATGGATTGCAAAAAATAATTAAATCAAATACCTAAACACTAATATAATACAATTTTTGCCATTACACACATTTTTTCCTGTAGTATTTGTGTTTCTTCTGTATTGCTATTCTATGGCTCTTCAACTATTTAGTATTGATGTACTTTCAGTATGAAGGATACTTCACTCGGGGGATTTCTCGGGCGAAGCCGGGTCATTCTTCTAGTTTAACTATAATAGGCGAACTATAATAGGTATATATAGCAATCTCCTTTAAATATTCATTTTCTCTGGTCATTTTTTTTCTATGTAGGAGGGTAGTATGTTTCTTTTATCACACTTAAATTTAATGAATCGCCAATAAACTCCAAAAAGTCAAATGAACATACAGAAAATTTTGCGCTCTTTGAATAAAAAGCCGTGCGAGTTTTCATAACACCAATAATACCTGTCTTAATCGGACGATGCTTTAAGCGGGACGCTGTGCTATTGTTTAGTCATTTTGTCTCGGTCCACTGAGTGGCCGATTCAGACAAGTTTTACATGGTACCCTTAAAATAAACCCTTTGATTCCCTTCTAATAAAAACAAGAAATTAGACGATAGATTCTTTCCAATCAGGTCAGGATAGACGAGTTTAAATAAACCTCTACTTTTAAATTTGTGCTGTGTGCGTGTGTATGAGAGAACATATAGTAGAATAATCCCACAGTTGAATGTCCTTGCCACAAGGGACCAAAGTTCACGGACCTTACCTGCAGCTAGAAATAGTCCTGGATTTCGCACCACACACAGCCCATATATTATTGTCATTCCACGTCAGCCAGCCCCTTGTACCTGTTCTTTGTTGTTAATGGTGCATAACCTCTATTGTTTCGGCTCTCCAGCAGGCAGCTGTAGCTTTTTATAGACGTCCAAGGTCTAGGTGAAATGAAGCCAGCACCAACAGCGCGTCAGCCATGTTGAATATCGCTGTTGACAAGGCGGCGTTGAGACTTATAAAATTTAAGGAGCTTATAATTCTCAGTGTCATGTTTTGTTTTTTTTTTTTAATCCAAAATATAGACCTCAGTCAATTCCGTGAGTGGAAATAGTATGAGAAACACGAAAGACCTTTCTGGGGCCGTTTTCTAATATATTTAATATATCTTCGTTCTGACTTCTATATTACTTCTGAAATTTCTCTGGCATTTACAAATATAGAATCCTTATCCTTATAGAAATTTTGTAGGACTATAATGCCAGTTCCTCCGAAGACTTTTGTCTCCGTACCAAAGCTTAGCTTGTATAAATATGGTCACCGAACCCTAACTCTTGAATAAGATGACTTTAGAGAGGATAATATAAGGTGTGGAGATGACAGACCTCTGTCTCTCTTCCAATATTACCAACGTCATCATGATTTATAAACGAATGTGGTAAAATTCCAGAATGTGATTCCATCCATAAACATGGCCTAGTTTGTCAGTGAGAAAGATTTGTCAATGCAAAATTTAGCACCTGCGAAAGAAATGCGATATGGTAAGGAAAAATTGTTTGGTGAGAGAGCTGTTCTAACCATATACATATATACATACATATATTATCATAGTGCGGGAAAATGGTATTCACACGTGCAAAAGAAAAGCACACTTTTTTATTAAATGCATGAATGAACCAGAACAATGCATCTTTTGATCGTTTCTGCGCTGAATATGCGCAACGTTAGCGCTTGGAAAATTCGAACAAAAGCCAGTCGGTTATCCATGATTTCCCAGTTCTGGCTCTCTTCAATACAGGGACTATTACAATTTCAGCACGGAAGCCTGCTTGGTTTTCTAAAATAATCTCTCTTTTTTCTATCCAGTTGTTTAATCTGTTTCTTAGTATTGTAGTAAATAATTTAGATATATTACTGCAGAGGGCAATCCCTCTATAATTTGTTGGGTTATTCTTATCACCGCTTTTATATATAGGGTGTACTATTGAGTTCGTCCAGAGTTGCGGGTATTTTTCTGTGGACATTATTTTGTTGAATAGGTTTATCAATTTAGTTAAAGTCGGTATCGGTAAATTCTTTAGCAACTCATTTGGTATACCATCGAGTCCCACTGCTTTGCCATTCGCTAGTTTTTTAACTACATCATGGATCTCTTCAAGGGTTATTTCCGCGTCTAAATCTGGATCTTTCCAACCGATCATCTGGTTTATCGTACTTTTAAAATAAGTATATAGGCAAAAGAGGCGTAAAGATCCCTCCTATATATACTAGAAGATATGGAAGACTACTCAAAGGTTAATATTGAAAACACTAGATCACAAAAGGTCACCCTAGTACTAAATTTGTGGACTAATTAAAGAGAGAAGCCAAAATCTTTCCACCATTTGTAAAATAGCTGTGGATTGATCGTCTTGAAAAATATTTATTGGGGAGGCATACAAGTCATAGAACTGGAGAATCTGAATATATATTTATAGTGGAGTTTTAACTCGAGTGACTATGGAAATGAAAATTATGAAGTAGAAGTCGAGATTTATTTTTTGATAGTTGTTCTCACTCTCTCTCGGCCGTGCGGCCACGCGGTGCGCGAGCTCTGTGTTCTTCGCTACTTCGGACCTGAAAAATGGAAATTTATAATGCGTATAGCTTATTGGCTTAAAGCCCTGTTTCTCCTCTGCAAGGGAAGGTGAATCTTTTAGAGATTCAGCAAAGTTCCGCTGAAATACCAGTTGAAAATAAGTCAATGGAGATTGCCATTGATAATGGTGAAAATAAAATTCATGCTAATTCGTCCATTATCAAGGACGCGCATGCAAATTTGGCAGCGGCTTCTGCCTTCCAACTATGGCTCCCAGCGCTGATGGCGGTCGGGTTCTGAACTGGGCTGAGGCCATGGAGCACCAGGATCCCAATAACGAGCCTGCTCCCTTTACCAAGGTCGAGCGGAAAAAAGGTAGAACATCGGCTTCGCAGTGTGCTCCGACCCGCAGTCAGGAACCATCGCACCAGCTCAGAGGAGCACAAAGCCATTCAGGGCAGATTCTCAGCCAGGCGTCACCCACTCGCCCAGGAGATCAAGGCGACGCTAAAGAACATCGCCGAAGCAAAAGCACAGCAGGCCACGGGCACCGTGGACCAGTGCGTCTACGTCGAATACTGCCCTGAATTCAGCCAGCTCCAATATGTTCTGGTGCTGGACAAGCTGGTGGGAGGAAATAACATCATCCAGCTCACCAAGTTGAACGGCCACGTCCTGGTCGGCCTCGCCACCAAAGCCCTCGCGGAGCGCCTCATCGAGGAAGGGCTCGAAATCGAGGAGACCCTGCTCAAGACCTTCCCCTTCCACAAACGGGCGGAGAGAATCGTCGTGAGCAACCTACCCTTCGTCGTGGAGGATGCAGAGATCATTGCCGCCCTGAGGCCTTACGGGCGAATCACATATATCCCTCCGCTCATCAACGTTGCAGGCTTCACAATGAAGGATGGACGCCGGGAAATGTACATCCTTCTGAACGTGGGAGTGAAGCTGGAGAGTCGTGTGCGACTTGAACATCGACGGGGGTCCTGCCGGAGCAACAGATTCGGCCTCTGTGGAAGCCCTCTCCAATCTATTGGAGCAAGCCACGCTGGAAGATGTCGCCACTTTCTTTAACTTGGCCCACCTTCCAACCAGAGTGGCCGACTTCGGGTTTCTGATCCACAGCAGCCGGCTTGATAGGATACCCCTCCCTGACGCGCTAGTTAATAGGGCAAGGAGCTACAGCCTCCGATTCTACCGTCTATCGGACCACCGCGCCGTCCTCCTCCAGCTAGGCTCTCCCCCTGCTGCAGGATCACCCGGTGTGACTGTTGTGCTGAGGTCAGTGGCTGCTATTTAGCATCTGTCTTCTCAGAATGAGGATGTCGGGTGAGCCGCCGTGGACCTCGATGACAGAGAGCTCTGGTCGCGATGGAATCGCATGAAGGCTGGAATATTGGCTGAAATCAGGTCACTCCACACTACTCGCCCTGAGCCGGAGGACGGCTACGTTACCCGATCCAATCGTTATATCAGGGCAAAGCTCAAGGCCTCGTCGACGGAGGCCGATTATCCATCGCTGCCAGACCTCGGACGTGCGTTCCGCCTCCTCCGCCGTGTAGCAACCATCGTCAGGGATGAAGAGGGCGAGATTATGGGTGACCGCGAGCTACACTCTAGGACGCCTTCCTTCTTCGGGCACCGCATTGCTCACGACCAAGCCGACCCTGCCGAGGTTGATAACTTTATCGCGGGAACTAACACCCCATCATCCTCGAAGAAGGCGATCCTCTACACCGGTAAGACATTTCCATTTCCATCCGCACGCTTCCCAAAGGCCCCGGGGTGGAACAGCTTGCCGTGCGAGAGCTCCTCTCTGCGTATGAGGACTTCTTCTAGGCTCTTCTATGGAGGGTGTTTGGGGCTTTCTTGGTGGGCGGCGCCTTACCATCATTTGCCTGGTTACGGTAAGTGCACACAATGCAATTTAAAAAAAAAAACTTTACAAAATTAGCGTTACTGTATGTAAACAATAGCTTTCGTATTTTTTATTAATTTTTGTTCTGGC